GAGTTTCCAGAGGCGAGTTGTTTAGGAAGTGGATGGCACTCCTGTTTCCAAACCTGACATAGTATGTTATTGTTTTTATGTGCCACTGAGCTCCCTGTGACGTACAGCGACCTTATGTATAGCAGCTCTGAACCTTTCCCTGTCCTGAACCAGTTTCACTAACTCCGACACACCAACTCCCATCTCCCCAGTTACTCTTATCAATCCATCTCATCTGGGGTCTCCCTCTCCTGAGCTGTCTGTCCACCCTTCTGAGCATGATATCCTTCTCCAAGGACCGATCTCTCCTGGCCACGTGCCCAAAGTAAGTGAGGCGAAACTTCAAAATCCTTGCCTCCAAAGACAGATTTGGTTTCACCCTCTCCAAGACAGACCTATTTGTTTTCTTGGCAGTCCATGGTATGTTCCAGACTCTTCTCCAGCACGACAATTCGAAGGCATATATTCTTCTGTCATCCTTAGTCACTGTCCAACTCTCTGAAGCATCACAAGTAATTGAGAAGACCATGGCCTGGATTATGTGCCATAGAGCTGGAATTAATTCAAGGCTGACCCTCCGGTAGTGAGGAAATTGCCTTTTTCCCTGCAGAGAGCTCCTGGTGAATTCAAACTGCTCGCCTTTAAGTTGGCAGTGCACCTCTTTACCCACTAGACCACCAGAGCTCCTTCTAAGCCACAAAGACATAGTAACACTGTTTTACATTTTCACTCCCAGGCTGTATCTAATAACATGACTTAAACACGATAAGGACCATCAGTGTTCAATGACTGATTCTGAGACTTTATATATTGGTAGAAAACAAAAACGTCTCTTCACTCCTTCAGGGTTAAAAGAGTAGCATCAGACTCAACAGCAACGGGTTTTTAACAGACTCGACAGCAGTGAGGTATAATATTTAGGTGAGGAAACAAATGCTTAAAGAAAGGAGATTTGTGATTTTCTGATATTTGTCAGACCTGGAAGTCATTTAGGTCAACCTTCTACTTTAAATTTTCACTGCTTAAATGAGACGCAATGTATATGGCTTCTATATGCAAACCAATATAAAATAAAAGACAATTTAAAGATTTTTTAAAAAAAAAAGAGTAGCAACAGTCTAAATACCCAGAAATGTCAGACAGTGGTTTACTGTCATCTGCTTTATAAACTAATGACGGAGACAATGATTAACTTTGAAAAACTCAGTCTCAAATGATTCTTTTCTTCAAAAGAATATTCACTGAAACACTAAAATGTTATCTGGTTTTCACCTAGCTTTTCTACCCAGAGAATAATAAAATAATTTGGGATCTGCTTAAAAAGTTGTATTTGTATATTTTAGCTCTTTTCCAGGAAGACTTTTAAAATATTATTTCTTTTTTATCATTTTCCTAAGGCCTTTTTAATTTTACTCCAGGAGCCCTAGTGGCACAGCAGATTAAAACTGAACTGGTTTTTTTTT